GTGTGGCAAACCCAAGAAAATCAGAGCTCTGCAAGCACCTATTAATTTCATTGAGCTGGGAGCTGGCACCAAGAAAAAAAACATTTTCACTGTTTCTGAATTCATTCAAGAATGCTCTGAAAGATGTTGAGAATTGCTCTCCCTTTGAATGTCCCTTTAACTGTCATTAGACAGTGTCTAAGGCTCGACCTAACATAGCCAGGAATAAAGTCACCAAAGAGTAAACACCTGCCCAACCATTCTTTCCTCTCCACTCCCCAACTTCTTTTTTTTTTTAAAGGCTCACATGCAATGATTCAATATCTAAGGTACATGGAGCATGCAGGTTCACCACACATGCAAGCTTGCAGAAAACTGTCTTGGGGGGGGGGGGGGAAAAAAAATTCTGGGGAGAGCCACAGTCTTTTGAGGAAAAGCTCTATGCATAATATGGAAGGTCAAATCTGCAGAGTCTAACTCTTTGTACGAAGGAATAAGGAGGAGGGCAAGAAGAACATGGTAAAGAGAGATAACAGAGGAGACAAAATACAGTCCCTTTGTCTCATCATTGGTGCTTCCCACACACAGTCAGAATGGGAAACTAATGGCTCCATCTTTATCACAAGACTCTGAGGGATATTGCAGTGAGACTGAGTAGCAAAGACATCCGTACTTGCTGGATGCTCAGTCTTCCTATGATGGCAGGAAGGGCAAGTTTAAAACAAAACAAAAAAAACAACAAGAGAGACCCTCCCAGTTTCTATTTGTATAAGGCTATGGAGCTACAAAGCCCAGCAGGGACCACTGACCAGCCTTGGACTTTCTGTTGCAGTCTTCGGGCACTCACAGACATTGATCAAGTGTGAATGGAAGTTGTGCTGTTTGTAACCGAACTTTTGCATGACTGAGATGCAAAGCACAGGGAGCCAAAGAGTTCCTGGCTCACTTCTTTCTTTCTTCGTATCTGTTTCAGAACTGAGCATTTAATAAAAATTATTCAGTACACCACCATCACATAAAGGGGAGAAGGAGAAAGGAGCCTAAAGTGAATACCAAAGCCTCACACAAACAAGGCATAATGAAGGAAAACAGCAGCCCATTTTTCTTCCCTTCAGTACGCAGTGAATGTGCAGTGCCTGTGAGTGTGCATGGCTTGTGCTTCCTATTAACAAGTTGCACGTTAATAAATTTAACTCAGACAAATTTAACCATCCTAGGGCCACATTAATCAGAAGCCTGACAAGACCAGTCTGAAAGACTTGAGCAAGGAAAATAAACCACAGCTGACACAGATGCCACCATGCCCTCGTCATCCCTGGGCTGCTCCCACTCTATCAGCACCTCCAGTACCACAGTAACTCCTTCCCACTGCACTCCTGCTGGGCTGATCACGCTGTCCTCCCAACACTCCTCACCCACCCAGTGCCTCTTCATCAGTGATGTTTCCTACTCCCCATGTGTCTATACTACAGAAGGATTTAGAGTATTTAAGTACAATCATGTGCTCATGAAAACTATGAATTGGCCAGAACCAGAAGGAAAGAACAAGGGCTATCAAATTTATTCATTACTCATGTTCAAAGTTCCCCAATGCTAGAGCTTCATCACGTCACTTCTCAAGCCAAAATACACATGCATGGAGACTTGTACAAACCCATGGCAGTTATTACTGGGGAAATCTCCACCCTTTGGTCCCTTCATATTTAGCTCTAAGTTGTTGCTTTGAGTTATGTTTTTAGTGTGGAAAATATCAACAAATAGGTCCTTCCATCAATCAAACCCCTTCACAGGGAGAAGGGCATGTCATACAAGATGAGGAAACTGAGAAATAACTGCTGATCAAAGCTACACAAAGCCGTACAAATTAGGCTAAGTGTGTCCCCAAAAGCCATAATTATCCGAGCTGCTTAAACAAAGTAAGCATATACATGATTATTCAGATTTGCCTAGAGGCATCCTCACAGCATAAAACATGGTGTGTTGCCTTGCTGTTCTTCCACTTGATAAAACAACAAATGTTTTCATCACCTAAGAGTATTGGTGTTTACATTTACAGTCTTGGAAACTCGAGAGAAACTGTGTTGCCTTGCCTTGACACTGTCTTTTCCCCAAACAATTTCTATTTCAGTTCAGACAACTGGGTTTTCTGCATGTTCTGTTTTGATTGAGTTCAATTGGTTCATGGACAGATCTAGGAAGTCCTCAGTCTGATTGCATTGCAAAGCTTCAGAGGGAGAGTTCTTTAGCGGCACATGATTTCATGGCATTTCAGTCAGAACTTCAAGCTCCCAGTGAATTCACATAATATCGCAAGCCAGGGGATATTTCTTTCTCTCAAAAATAAGGAGGACTTCAGCCACATAATTGGGATTTGAACCTAGATGCTGAATATTACAACAGCCTGAAGCATTCGAAACAAGTATCTGTCCAAATCGTTCATAGTTCCTTTATGAATATTTCAGCATATCTGTGCTGAATAAGCCAAGTCTTATCTTCAGACAGGTTAATGACCTTTGAAAACCTGCCATAATCTCTTTTAACACTGCAAGATGCATTCTGATACACTCTGAGAATACAGTGCTCCAGAAAATGACAATGCCTCCTAATATTCTCACATTTATATTGCTATACTCCCTAAAAGCAATGTGACTCGGGGTATTATTGTGCTGGTCAGTACTGTGTTGTCGTTTCCTCATGATCTTAATTTCAGCATTTGTGCCTCTCAATTGTCTTGAATAAAGGCTGTAAGTCCTGCATACACAGAGGCCATCCATTCTCCCGTGCTGTACCACACCTGGCAAAGTAAGTTTTCAGTTCAGGGCTAGCCTCAAGGACTGTAGATGGTATAAAGTCTAGCGTATCATTAGCACATGCAATTATGCTTCCCTCTTGCCTCTGGTGCCAAAGGTGAAAACATTCTTAACTATTCCTGCTTTAGTTCCATTTGTACAGGCCTGCAATTTTCTTCCAGATTTTTTTAATTCTGATCACTGTATCTGCATGACTGCAGATCTGAGTATGTTGTGGTGTTGGTCAGAAAGCAGGAAAGTTTTACAAAAATGCTGGAGATTTTTAAATGGCCTTTTTGCTTTTCTATGACAAAACACACCTTTCAGAAAGTCCTTTCAAAGCCAAAGATGCTTAAATTCAGTGCTTAGCACAGTCACTTATCATGTGACTGACCCACTCCAAGTCCTTGCTTTGATAAATCCAAACACTAGCTTAGCTTTTGCTTTGTACCTTCATTAGAAAGGTGTACTCGGGTAGAAAAACTTGTTCAATGGATGTCTCTTCCAGATGGCTCCAATCCTCAGATAAAATATTCTGACTTACTATCTTTCATTTAGCCTATTAAGACCTACTGCCATGAGGTTTAAAAATTACTGTCGACAGCTAACATCTAACCAGGTGATCATCTGCAGTGTGCCAAAGGCTTCTTTATATAACTAACCTCCCCCACCACAACTCCCACCCACGGGTTTTCTGTTCTATATCATTATCATGGAACAAAAGTGCTTAAGGGCAGGAATTATCTCTTCCTGTCAGACATGGACAGCATTCACCACAGCCAAACCCCCTAATCATATGTTGTATGTGCCACTGTAGTGTAAATAATACAATAATAGCAACACCAAAAATCCAATTTTCTCTCTGATACTGCTTCCAGTTTCCACCATTAAAGCTGTGCATGTGCATACACCTTATGAATTCCCATGTAGCCTGTACTTAGCAATTTTGCTTTAAGATTTCAACCTAGAAAAGCACATTCATGTTCAGAAATTTGCTAATTCAGGGTAAATGCCTGATTTATAATAAAATTATTGTAATAAAAAGGTATGAGCTCAGGATGGATTACACTGTAATGTCAGCATAACCGCAGTCGCTGTGCTCTAAGCCTAAACCAGGAAAGATAGCGATAATTTTCACCAATTCTGATATTTGAGCTTCCTTTTAGTTTACGCATGTATCATGAACATTATGAGGTGTCCTACTCACATATCACCACATACCCCTGAAAGGAGAATTCTGCAATGAGAAACATGGTTTATAGCACAGACTCCCTTTGGATACTTCAAGCCTAATATTTCAGTGAGATAATGATACATATTTGCTTAACATCTAAAAAGATCTTAAGACAATTTAAATTTCCACACTCCCTCAAAGTTCTCAACTCGTGTTATAAATGTGTGAAGAACAGAGATTAAAAAAAAGTAAAATCAGTTTATGCCTTGCTACTGACTCAATAAAAAAGTCAACCTACATATAAGTAGTTAGTCATTTAGGCTCTGAAACCAAAGCTAACCCAATATGATACTAACCAGAATCTTTTTATCACTTGCTGTTGTTTACAGAAACTTGCATATCTTAATCTTTTTAATCAAGGCCAATGAAGGTCTAAATCTTTGACCTTCACAATGAAAAATAACCACCTCTAGATATAACATAGCAGTTATAGTGTTTACCATTAGATAGTACACCATCACTTAGGATTCGGACAGAATGCAAGGAACTATAGTGTGTCCAGATTGATCTACCGAACGTGTTGGAGGAGCTGGAATTTAAGCAGAACATTTCAATTGCTGTTCACAGCTGGGAAAGA